ACTGCTATAAGCAATGTTTTAAAAGGCGGGGGCGTGAGGCGAGGCGTTTTACCTCGGACGAGGCAAGGCGTAAGTCCTACGGATCTTTAAATTTTACTAATTTCAAGAATTTTAAGATAGTATAAAATAAAATAATTATAAAAATTACATTAAAACCACAAAATTATAACAAATAATCTATTTAAAATATTTATAAATTTTAATTCAACTATGAATAATACAAAAAGTATGACATATATCATAATATGCAAATTAGCTGCAACGTCGTTACAACTCAAATATCAAAAGTAATATATTCGATGCGAAATCTTATATGTATCTCTTAATGAGTAATGAATCTTGAAAGAATTTCGATATTATAATTTGTTTTTTTTTTTAAATACTCCTTTTATTTAATATGCTTTCTATTTGAAAGAGAATTTATATAAAAATATAATTCACAATTTAAATATGATTCTCTAGTATAATTTATTTTTATGTTTCAACAAGTTAATAAATTGACACATAATTCACCATACTATATCATGATAACTAATTATTTGTAAATAGTTAATAGCTAATACTGAGCTATTAAATTAATAAGTATTTTATCTCGTAAACGTGAAAAAAAATATTTAGGAAAATAATTATAAAAAAATTATGGACTAATATAATAAAGACATAACAAAAGTTAATAAATAAATACTTTTAAATGAAAGATTCATGTAAAATCTACTATCATTGCAGTCATAGTGGATAACATGCAATAATTTTTATTTTAATTATGAACATAAAATACTCTCATGATTTACGATTAAGAAAAGAGTAATTTTGAATAGTCAACGGTTTATTAAGAAAAACTGATGATTTACAAGGTTAGTTACACACAATTGCATAAAGTTCTATTAGGCGAGCCCAGTACGCTGGACGTTGGGCGTGCCCTGGGCGTAAGCCCCGATGGTCGAGGCGTAAGTCTCACGGAACTAAGCCCCACACATAAATCCAGGGGCGTTTTACGAGTGCTCCGCCCTAGGATGAGCCCCGGGCGAGTCCCAATTCTGCCTTTTAAAACAGAGGCTATAAGAGGTTAAATTACATATATAACTTAAACCCAAGTTCATTCAGTTCTGATGCTGCTGAGAAATGCTAAAGATTGTCGAATCCTACTCGCAAACAGTAAGCTCAGCAAGTTAGTTTTATCTTTTGTGAAACAGGTGGATTTAGAATGCTCAGATGGACACAACAGAATTGGTATATTTAGTCATAAAAGACTTTCTAGGTAAGTTATCCATGTAAAAACCTCTTTACTTTTTTCAGATTGTCAAGTTACTATCTGTGGGACGTTCGAATCCTTGTGATTTTCTTGAGCGAATCTAAGCAAGAATGTAATGAAAGCCAAAGGTTGTAAGCTTTAAACTGTTTCTTTTTCAGATCAGTAGGAATTTCAACAGCTGCATTTGTCCTTGCTATTCTTGAGGGAAGCACAAAACCTGGTGTCTGGTTTCCTGAAGAGGTATGTAATGATGAATTAACATACCCGTGATTTTTTTTTCTTTATAAATAGTAGATTTAGGGTCCACTTGCATGCACCTCAGTTATTCCGTCAGGTTCTTCCTACTCCCACCAGTACAAGTATCGAGTAACTCCATCCACCAAGGTTTAAGCAGACGAGAAGAAATCTTAGCATTTTTGTCTCTACTGATTTAACCATAATCTCCCATGGTTTTCATCATCCATTTCATACACAGCTAGGCAGGGGCGGTTCTAAAGGCTTGGGCAATGAGGCCGTCGCCTTAGGTCCCCAAAATTTGAAGGCCCCAAATTTATTTTAAATTCTTATTGTTATTACTATATATTATATAAATTATATAAATAATTACTATAAAGAAAAGTGTTACAGTATTTTTTTTTTTTTGTTATTTGATTGAGGTTATTTTATATCAATAAATTCATAAATTATGATAATTTTCTTCACTGATTAATTAGTATATTTGCGATTAATTAGTATATTTGCTTCAGTCTTCAATTTTAGTTTTATCCTTTTTATACAGGAATTAAGTTATAGATATCGACAACATAATGAATTTCTTTTACAATGTTCTCTCAAACTGCATAAACACAAAAGCATTCATGCACCGGTTTTCTTATAGTGTAATTCGACATATTTATTAGGTTATTTATAACTTATTTTAGATATTCACCAATAAACGCTACTTAATAGAATGAACTACAATTTAAGGAGTAAATATTTTTTTGACGCCATTAATGCTCAAAACTTAAGCTATTACGTTATGTACGTTTATTTCTTTTTCTTGTTTGTGATGATAGCCAAATCAAAATATGTGGACCTTAACATCCGATAGTCCACCACTTTATTTTTTGTACTCTTCCCTTTTTTTTTTTTTGAAATTCGCTTATTTTTGTCTTAAATGATTTATTTATTGTTCAGAAAGTAAATTTTGTTGTTAGTGTAAATATTTTATAAAATAAATTTAAGAGCCTCTCAATATGGTTTCGCCCTAGGCCACGAGATCCATTGAGCCGCCCCTGCCGCTAGGCCATGCCCCTTGGGCACGCAACATGCTCGTGAATTATTTTGACTGTCAACTTCATATTTAAACGTTATTTGGAGCTTTCTCTGCAGCCTGAAGGAATTGCAGTTGAAGCAAGGGAAGTTCTTCTCCAAAGAGCTTCGCAGGGAACTATAAACTTCATAATCAACAAGTATGCATTTATTTCTTCGCATTTTTCTCTTGCAATGTGTGCTGCTTAAATTTAAAAAATATTTCAAATGTTACTTCTGGCTTCTTCTTAGGGCTCCATGGATGGTAGAAACAAATCCTAAAGAGCTCGGATTTGGAATTTATTCATAAATTCAGTATATACAGATTTTACAGATCAAGTAAGTCTTCCTAAGTTTCATGCTGGTATGTACCTTTTGCATTTCAAATTTATAAATATATTGAGCTGTTTTCTCGATTGTGTAAATATCTTTTACATCGTCAATGCATAGAGCTTAAATTCATTTCCTTCTCCCTTTTCAGGTGTTGGGCGTGGAGCCAAAAAAGCAACCTCAACCTGAAGATTAAAAAGATTACATTGTCTTATACATTGAAAATGCAGATAAAACAACGAAATCTCATTTCATTGTCTCCCTTTCCTTTTCTTTCCCCTAATTATCTTCTTTTACATAGCTGGAGTACAATTCTACTAGAGAAGTCTGCTGAATAACAATGTTAAGACACATTTGATAATTATACATATTAAGCAGTTCCTTGTTGATGCATCAAGTTGTGTTTTACTTACCAATTATTTAGTGGTTGAGTAGTAGGATTTCTTTGGACAATAACTACTTCCCTAAGGTTCGTGCACGATAACAACAACAAAAAACCCTGTGAAATCCCACAAGTGAGGTTTAGGGAGGATAATATGCACGCAGACCTTACTCCTATCTTATGAAGGTAGAGAGGTTGTTTCCAATAGACCCTCGGCTCTCGTGCATGATAACAAGACTTACTAAAATTTAAGTAGAGGAAGACTCAATATATAACAAAAGTTAAACAACATGTGTAATACCTAACACCAAGTTTGTCAAATGAAATTAACAGGAAAGATGTTCCATTGACTAAAAACAAATCAAATAATTATCAAATTGCTCAAAAGGAATTGACTTTAGTGTATTACAAACAACAGAAAACCCCACCCACAATCAGGAAAATGAAAAGGAAAAAAAAGAAACCACTCTATCATTCTTTCGACATTTCAAATACAAGCACACACTTCTGTACACAAACAAAATTACAAGTATTGCCTAAAATTTAAATGCAGAAATGAACTGGAACAGAAAATGATACAAATATCACTTTAGAAAAAATCAGTCATATCCTTCTCAAACCGTTGAGCTGGTCTCTATAGCATGTCTGTATACATTGTCTGATAACTATACAACAGCATCCGTGCAGGCTATCCTCGTTTGTTGCCGAAACATTTTTGCATGCATGAGTCCGGCTTGATGTACATTCGAATCCCTCTCAAAGTTGCTACGCCAATGTTTGAAATCCTCAAACGAGGTTTTATGTAACAACTTTTTGTTCATCTCTGCTCAAATGAATAGTCAGGAAGTGCCAAATATGAAAGGCAGAGGTGTGAGGTGTCAGAATGTTTTTTTTTATAATGGTAACATGTGAGGTGTCAGTATGTTGAAAATACTTCATCCACAAATTTCACGCCTCTTCTTTTGTCATTTCTCACACATGTTCTCACACATCCTGCGCTAACAGCAGACTACACATGCAAGCAGAATGCTGAACACGTGGCTGGATTGAACTGTATGAAAGCTCAAGCACAGCTAGTTCATCACAACTACCAGTTTGATCTATTTCTGTCCGACTCTCTGGGCTGGGTACTCTTATATGCTCTCCACACATCTTCCCACTGGTGTCTACTTCCACTTCTCTCAGACGGATAATTGTTAAAATCCGTGTGTGTTCTGAATGTGCTGCTCTCATTGCCTCTACTTTGACTATTTCTCATCTCTTCTTCAAGGTCATAACGTGAACGCTTCAAAATAATAGCAGTAACTCAGTTTAAGATTCAAATTTCAGCAAACAAGATATGCTGTAAGCAGTCAAACCACCTCAGCAAAGAAGAGAAAAGAGAAGAAAACCAACAAGTCCTTGCACTTCCAACCATTGGATTGGGAGGTCGAGTCACCAAAGGAGGGAAAAAGTGAAGTGCTGTTAATCCTCTTGGGAGATGGGTGGACGGGTCAGGCATGGGAGGTGGACTGAGCTGGCTCCTAGCGTTTTAACAATATACGCCAATGCAGGTTTTTATTTTGGTTAAAGCTTTAGGCTTGTCAACTACAGCAGCTGCTTTTCTGGAAAAGCTCCTCGACTCCCAACAACAATTAAGAAAATTAAATTCAAGGTACGGACACCTAACTTTCATAAGCTCCACATTGACAACCCCCGCAACACTAGGAACAAGATACATGGGATAAGGCAAGGCATAAAAAAGATTGATTTCTTTGATTATATTAAAATATTCTGAAATTAATAGGCACTCAAGCAGGTTTGGCACATAAACTTGCTGCAAGCCCTTAATTCCATGCCAACCTAAACCCTAGGGGAAGATCCACTAGTACCAGAGACCGGGATAGGGAAAGAAAGACTAGCAACAAATTGGCCATTTTACATGCTACACTTTCTTTGATCTCGGTAACAGTTTCTTTTTTATAATTGTTGTGTCCGGGCCAGCTTGTCCGCACCTTGACTAATTCTATGGAGATACCTGCTACCTCCACCTGCAACAGGTACCAGGTAACTCTATCCACCAAGGCTTGGACAAATGGGATGAGTCACCTAGTGTCTTTTGTCTCAGCTGGGATTTAAACCTGAGATATCAAGTTCTCAACCCACTTCATTGAGCACTAGGCCACATCCTCGGGTGTGATCATGGTAACAGATTACCTCAGGAGAAAAACAATGAAGCACAATAGAGCATGAATAAACATACCTTTGCAGAGTCCGAAAGCACTGCATAGGCCTCGCCTATCATCTTAAAGAGCCTGTCTGCATCTCTGTGGACTTCTTCTGCTATGTCTTTCCACAGTCCATCATCCGCATTGTCATTTCTAGCCAGTGATTGCCCAGCCTAGATCAGCAAAACAATGTTAGCTAAAGTCCCCGTAAGTGGTGTTACAAAGTAGCAAAGGTCCTAGAAAGAACCTTATCAGGGTGATGCTTGAGCGCAGCTTTTCTATAGGCTTTCCTAATTTCTGATGCACCAGCAGATGAATCAACTCCCCTGTCATTGTTGCATCAATCGTTAGAAAAACAATTGCTTACTACAAAAAAATACACCTCTATGCATATTATTTCCACAAATAAATACTCTCTCGATTCGTTTTATAGATGTAAGCTAGAGAAACAAAACCTCAATATCTTGTAATTTTTAACATGCCATGTCTGCTTCGATAGCATGTCATTAAAGGTAAAATGTGGCCTCCTAACATTAAAAAGTTTTTAAATATTGAAAGGTGTCAATCTTTTCGGGACAGAGCAAAAAAGAAAGAGTTCAATAACTTGAATCACAATTAAGAAACTCACAAAATGAGGTAAAAGTTCAAGGGGATCTCCTTTCTGGCTTCTTCCTCCATTGCCGAAAGCTTTTGTTGTGTTCGCTGAATCTCACTTATGAAACTCATTTTGTTATGTGATCCAGATCCACCAACTTTATTTTCCATATGCCTTGTCAGAAGGGATACAAGTCGCTGAAGATCTGAAGCTGCTCGTCCGTAATCTCTGATCATCTCAAAAAGAGAAGCCCGTCTAGAAAGTGCCTGCATTAGTTTATGTTGGCTTGGCATTAACCAAAGATATAATGTACCCTAAAATCAGGTAACTAAGTCCACAAAATTACTATGGATATTCTTCACTAGAAAAACACTGCCAAACTGATCAAATGGCATTAACCGAAGATATATTGTACCCTAAAATCAGGTAGCTAACTCCACAAAATTGCTACGGATACTTCTTCACTAGAAAAACACTGTCAAACTGATTAAATTCAATGTACTAGGTCACCAAAAAATACAGTGTAGTCATGTGAAGTCCTCGGTAATGTTTAGAACTAAGAACTAGTGTGCTTAACCAGCCCATTCATATGAGAGAAACAATAAAACAACCATCTTTGAACCAGTAACTCAATCAGCATAGAACTTCGTGAAGCAAATGAGAAAAAAGAAAAAAGATTTCCTATTTAAGTCATCTTATGGCTATATTCATCATAACAATGTGCAAATGAAAAAAAGTAGCTACAAGAAAGAGATCGTCTAAAATGCAGTCCTGGAGAAGTATCTTATATCATCTAAATGACCATATAACAGTATGATCATGCCAATTGGGATTTTCCTGGATTTCATTATGTCGAGAGTGGGATCGGGGGACAAACAAAGGAAGTGGATTAGATTCTGCATTCGGTCACAAAATCAGTCCTACTGGGCAGCCCGTGCGTATATTTCGGTAGCTCGAGAGGTATAAGATAAAGTGGATCCATTATCGTCCCTGCTGGGCCTTATGCTATTAGGTATAACCCAAGAGATACCACATGTACTCATAAAGAAAAAATCCCTGCACTGTCCAGAAATTCTACAATGCAAAAATAGATGTTCAACTGATTCTACAATGCAACCACTATGAACAAGGAAGGCTGGTAAGGGAATTGGGGTGAGAGGCTCGAACTCTCGACTCAGGACATAAGGAAAACCTGTTAACCATTAAAAAACCTCTTCTTTGGAGATTCTCTTGAGTTAAACAAGCTCTCCATGTTACAATCCAACCTAAGCAAGCTACTTTTGTAGGGCCTTCTGTCTTCCAAATCATCTTCCATGGCCAATTAAGTTCCCAACCACCTGATTGCCTCATCAACAACCTGTACCAGTTATTCACATAGAACTTTTATCTTTGCTGGAGTTCCATATTAGAGAATCGTTTTTATTAGTGACAATGTGTACAGTTTCTAATTGCTGCATCATCTGACAAAATCCTTCCAACGCCCAATCATTCAAATTTCTTCTAAAATTTACTTGCGAGCCTGAATCTGAATGAAACTGAGCTATTGCACCTTCCTTTTAATAGAGCAGCTATATAAAGTTGGCAATGTGACTCCCAAACTCTCATTACCTATCCATGTATCAGTCCAGAACTTATATCTCTCACCATAACCCACTTCTAAACCAGTATGAGAAAAGAATTCATCCCAAAGCTTGGTTATGTTCCTCCCGATCCAACCCTTTGTGTAAGAGTTAGCGAAACAAGGTTTCCATTCATCTTTTTACCATAGACAGCTTCGATTATTTGATTCCAGAAAGCCTCATCTTCAGAACTGTATTTCCATAGCCACTTGAAGAGCAAACTTTTATTATGCAGTTTCAAGTTTCTAACTCCCATTCCTCCCCCTTTTTTTATCCCTTATTACTTTATCCCATTTGATTAAATGCATCTTTCTATTTTCAGCACACCCTTCCCAAAGAAATTTACTCCTCAGGGAGTTCAGCTTTCTTTCAACAGCAGCTGGTAAAGTAAACATTGACATTAGATAAGTTGGAATCCCATCAAGTACACTATTTATGAGCGTAAGTCTTCCCCCATATGAAAGATACTGCTGCTTCCAGGGAGTTAGTTTGTTATTGCATTTATCCAGTACTCCCTGCCATAGGTTTGGATCATTTCTTCTTGCCCTCAAGGGAAGTCCTTAGTATTTTCATATTTTGTAGGAAATTTTTCCACTTAGCACTCCAACGAAGCTGCTAATTCTTCAACCACATCATCAGCGTTAATGCTAAACATCCGAACCAACACAAGCTCAATCACGGCCCTCTAGTGAACACTGAACAGTACAAGCTTTCAACTCTTATGCAATAATAAACTGCAGAGGAAACCATTTTGCTCTTTTCCATCTGAGCATTTGGAGGGAGTTTATGTTGGAGACAAAAGAAGGGTAACAGAAAATTACCTTTGAAGGCAAGACTACCAGAAAATATGCAGTAGGCCTAAGAGAGAAATTACATTCAACAGCTGCACTGAAAAGACAATTCTGAAACCTTACCTTCACATAATTCCCATCTAGGGCAATTGCCAGGCTGCAATCTGCAATGGCATCTGAAATTTGACCCATAGCACGGTATGCAGCAGCACGATTGCAGAAACATATTGCAGTGAAAGGCCGCGACTCAAAATTACATGATACTGCAGCAGTATAATGCTCAACAGCTTCTGCATGCTTTCCTGATTGGAATGCCGCATTTCCAGCAGCCTGCATAGTAAAGAGTTGAATATCTTGAAAGTACAAAGCAAGATGTTCTTTTTCATTTTTATATTTACTGTTTTCATGGGGTGGCGGCAAATTTTTTTTGCATTACTTGCTCTGAGATCTTTCAGAAATCAGAAAATGCAAAGAAGATGAGTAGTAAAACAAGGTAGATAGAAATGGGTAGGAATATATTAATACTTAAAGGCTGAACAAACAAGTCGAGGTCTATAAAGAAGCAAACAAGAGTCTGAAGCAACTAGAAACAAGAACCATAATCAGTTCACATTGTAGTGGAACAACCCTACAATTTCATGTTTGCTGATGGATTCAGGGCATTAGGACTACTAACTTAAGAGTCTGTTTGGAAAGCCACCTGGGAATTGGATTTGATGTAATTGGGTGTAATTACATAGTTTGGCATGTTTGTTTGGCCAAGTAATTACTTGGTCAGCATGGAATTAGGTGTAATTGGAGGGTTGTAATTACTCTCCAATTCTCAAGGGGAGGTAGGAATTGGTGGTAATTACCCTGTGTAATTACAAGGTTACTTTTTAGTTTCTTTCCTTCTTGTTTTTATTTTAATTTATTTTCTTTATAGCTTTTTATTTCTATTTTTTTAATTTTTTAATTTTATTTTTAATTTTTAATTTTTTTGAAAATTTAAAATATATTTTTCTCTGTACATTATTTATCTTTTATTTCTCTACCTTTACTTCTTGTCATTTCATGTAATTGCTTATATTTTATTTTTTATTTATTTTATTATTCTATTTTTTGAAACTACACCTCCCAATATTAGAAATAATGAGTCTTTAACGAACTTGGCATATAGTGAGTGATGCAATTAAAGTGGAATTTCGTTGTTGGATGTGGTTATAAACTTATTATGTTTCCTAATCTTAGGTTGTAGTGGAACTTACTGTTACTGTGTTGGAATTTGACATATGTTAAACTTTTTTTTTTTTTTTGGATTTTAAAATTGTGTTATATTCATGGTTTCAATTTACTTGTTTTAATAGTATTGGCTCACATTGCATGTCGTTCATTTTTTAGTTAGAACCGATAGATTAGTTTTGTCAAACATTTGAATAATGTTATGACATTATATTTATAAATATTAATTTATTTTATCAAACATGAATTCCATCACGTTCTTACAAAATGTATGTTTTTAGTTTTTGTAAGTATCTAAACTAAATATTAATAATTATTTATATACATACATACATACATATATATATTGGTATTTAAGATGTATATTTTTCCGTGAATATACATTAATTAGTAATCATATATTTAAAACTAACATACATATATATATATANTGTCAGGCTATTGTTATAACACATATATATATATATATATATATATATATATATATATATATATATATATATATATATATATATATATACACAATATTAGTTTTATATATATGATTACTAATTAATGTATCTTCACGAAAAAATATACATCTTAAATACCAAATATAGTATCAATTATACTTATAAAAATTTATAGGCATATATTTATTATATTAACTTTTATGTTTTGATAATTACTTCATTTAAAATTTAATCTAACTGTGTACTAACGCACCAAATATTCCCCACATGTTGGGATCAAACTGGGTTTGTTGTTGTTGTTGTTGTTGTTGTGTAAATAAAATTGTGCAACCAAACAGTAAACTTGTAATTACACTATGACAAACAAACAGATCGTTGTAATTACACAATTGTGTAATTATTAGGCTGTGTAATTACTACCCTAGTAATTACACCAATTCCAATTACATGGTGGCTTTCCAAATAGACCCTAAGTAAATTACTAGACTCACTAAAACCTTACAACTTTTCAATACAAAAACAACAAAATACGTCGATAATTGTATCTCATTTAGTCACGAGAATGGCTATATTATTATAGGCTTCCTCAGTAAACTGCTTTGTTGCATGTCAATGGCCATTTCTTTTTTCTTCTTTTTCAGAAAGGTTACTAACTACAGTAGCTTGCTCGTCTTAGGAGTTTACCAAAAAGGTCATCCAATAACTTTTTTCTTTCCGTCTCAAAAAAAAGTAACACAACTTTGCTAGGAAAATTGATGACTGACCAAGAATGACCAACCAAAGTAGGTGATGATAGAAAAAAATACACCCCTCAAAGAGCAATCCCTAACGCTTTTCCGCATAATAATTAATCACAATGCATCAGTAGAAGATTACTTGTTTATTCAAGGGTGGAGGAAATAAGCAGCTATTTACAGATGATAGAAAGCTTCCAAGGTCAGTAGTTAATTCCAGATAGTTTAGTGCGGAAGGAACGTAAGGATCGAATTTTCTCAGTGAAGTCCTGATATAAAGTTTTGTCACAAAATAGACAGCAAGAACAAATATGACGATGAAAATTCATATGGAGAACAAAGCACCTTATGCAGTAGAGTGTTTTTCATGTATCATGTGTGAAGAAGATTATGAAGACGCAAAACACTTATTTATCTATTTGTTGAATCAAAAACCAATCTAGTACATGTTGAATCTGCTTGAAGTTATATGGTGCAGCCATGCTACATTTTTGGAATAGAAGAATAATACGAGGAGGAGAAAAAATTTGTCGAACACTATACCAGCAGTTATATGGTGAACTATGTGGAAGGAAAGAAACCAATGATACTTTGAAGGCAAAAAGGAAAACTTTCTCAGTGGTATAGACAGAGCAGCCCTAGCAAATTTAAAGATTCAAAGCCACAGCTTCAAATATAAATTTCCGCTTAGTGTGATACCTACCATCTCTCTCATTTATCATGGCTACTAACTAGCTAATGCAATCAGAGACCAGGATTGTCTCTTCTTCTGTTATTTTTATTTCATTTACCTTCCAATTCATCGCAGAAGATCTTCAAAAATATCAATAGGTAAATCATTTTGCGAGTTTCACGAAAATAGAGATTTATAGTTCAAATGGCAGCTACCACATTTAGTTACTGAATAAATACATGTATAAAGCTAAATATAAAAGTGATGGATGCTTGTTAAGGAATGGGAAGATGATAAAGCACAAAGTTCGCTCACCTTGAGGCACAAGAGCTCACGTATTGTTACAGCTAAAGGAACAACAGCTTCCAAATTCTTGAGTCCACTACTGCAAAGTCAAATTTTATGACTGTAAGCTAACGCCTACCTGTAAAAGTGGATAAAGATATTCCAAATAAAGAACCCACCTTTCCATTAGACACATCGATTTTTCTTGGTTCTTCATAAAAGTGTCAGCCTCTTCAAGCTTCCCAAGATAAAAGTAAGACTTGACTATTTTAGAAAAACACCAGATCCCAGAGGAAGCACTTCTCTTTGTGGCCGCACTATCTAATTCCGATGACTGGTAACTGGAATTAGAAGGCAGAGCATTTGACTTAGCAAATTCAAGTGTCTTCTCACATAACTGAATCACCTCTTCGTACCTCCTCAGCTGTTCATTAAACTCACAGTTTAGTTTTATTCAAGAAATTCAAAAGATTTTTAGAGCACTTGTTGCAAACTACCAAAAAAAATTTATGTAGCCAAAATTTAATTTTAAAGTCTCATGGTTCAACGACAAATACCAAGAGAAGAGCATCTGCTTTCATTTCAAGAAGTTTCTCCGAATAGGTGCTTATTGTCAAAGCCTCAGAGATTGCACCCAAGGCCAAGTCTGCATCACTTTGCCTTCGCCTTTGCAGAAGTTCCACACACTGCTTCATACATTCTGATACTCTCTGAGGGCATCAAAAAAGAGCAATTAGTTTTCATTTATCGAGAAGTGCAACAAAGTTCATTTTGTTTGCGAAGAATTCAGATGTTGCTTAAATGTCATTATTAAGGAAGAAGCTGGACAAATAAAATCATAATCAAAATTCAAAGCTTCAATTAGAATGTCAAGAACACAACCTAATGACCTATGAGTAAATTACCTATTCTGTCCGCGTATTTCCAGTTTTCTTTTCTTAGTGAACAACAGCTGTGGTACACGGAGGGGAGTGTCAGATAAGAAGTTATCTAGCAACAGATACTTAATTCACCCTCCACTTCTTCAATTTTTTTTTTTTTTATGAAGTAATGAATTTTATATAAAAAAAGGCATCAAGAAAATGCAAGAAGACCATCCACTTCTTTTAACCAGTACACCCTCTCTACTTTGTGTTCATATTATCCCTATTTTCTCTTCCTTTTCTCAATTTCGGGGCCCTCTAAGTGACCTTGCATCTAGGAGATAACATAAGCAAGTTGTTCATGTCGCATGCTTTGACAAGCTCAAAATTTATATGACTAAAGTTTCCAGATAATCCCATTTAAAACCTAATGTGAAATCCATATATCTTGTTGGAATTTTTCTTTTCTTTATCTTTCATCAAACAACTAGTGGATTTGAAACAAGCTGGGGCATAAACAACATTAATTGTGTTATTGCTGAGGTAAATAACTGCATACAAGACACAGCTAAGATATCAAATAAGGGGGGCACAGTCTAGGAGTAACTGTCTAGCGAAAGAATCTGCTAAAGATAAGTCCTGATAAGAAGAATGTAAAGCAAACTACTGAAGTTAATCATTTTACCTGTGTCTTTTCCAAGCCCTCCGAAGCTTCCACCAATATTTTTCTGTCCGCACACACCTCCGGCCCTTGTTGCAAGCACTTCATGAAAAACTTTGATGCATTTTCGACTTCCCCAAGGGCAAGGTAACAGCTAGGAAATGCAAAACAAAATATAGTTACAAAAACGAAGTGTCCGTTTTCCCTTCTGTCTATAAATGGTATTAACACTACTATACACTTTGGCATATTTATACTGGATGCTGGAATGCAACTGTCTACAACATTCTAATTACACGATTAATCACCTCTGAAGAAAGCTCGTGATTTGAAGCTGTAAACAGAATTTCAGGAACTATCTAGAGTGGCTAAATCTTGAAAAGCTGCAAATTATAAAATTCGATCACCAAGAAATTTGTGACCTTTGTATAAGACCTAAATGCATCAGAGGAAAAAAGGACAAGAGTAAAAGCTGTATCATTGATTACACTAAATACACGCATATATCAAAATACAGAGACCACAGTAACCGCGGTAACTGAGAAATATCAACTTTTTCTCCTTTTTCTAATTTACATATTTATAGATATTAAAAAGATGAACCTAAAGGTATTGATATTCAGTTTCTAAATGAGTCTTCCCGACGAAGTTATACAAGAAATGTTGACACTACGTGAAAACAACCAATATAACTAAGTTATCATATTGAAGAAGGTTTATCCAACAAGAATCACGGAATGATAAACTCAAGACAGAATATTATAAGTGCTCCATGCACTGTGATTGTTTTAATTTTTAAAACAGACATGTTTATGCATACTAAAGGACAGTGATCAAACTTCTATCAGTCAACCACATGATCTATCAGTCAACCACATGTTCAGAAAGGTAAGAGGAAGCTAAACCTATACCATATAGAAACTAAAGGAACTTATGACAAACGGAAGGTAATTAATAACACATGGATCATACTTTGCAGCTCGAACTTGGACCCTGAAAAAGTTCGGATCTAATGCAATAGCCTTCATACAATCCTCAAGTGCTTCTCTCATTCTTCCAAGAGACATACGGGTTGCTGCACGGTTGCTATAACATAACATTAAAGCCCGAAGACAGCTCTTAGATGTCTCGCTTCCAGACACACAGTTCAGTCCTTGTGTGTAGAATTCATCAGCTTTGGACAAGTTCCCATTTGCATAGGCTTGATTCCCCCTAATATAAATAGAGATCACAAGCATGAACTTCGGACAAAAATGCAACAAAAAAAGGAATAAGTGAGTGAACAAGGTAAATCCCTCCATGATGAAAAACAGTAACTTGTACCTCAATCGCCATTTTTCACAAGCTTCCTGAGCAGCCATGCTTGCCGCAACCGTTTCATGGTTGACCTTCTGCACCTTAGCTGGTTCATCATTTCCCTGGCTATGGCTTGTCAAAGCAGGTATAAATCCTTTCTTACCCTGGGTGGGAGATGAAAGAGGAGATCCAGAAACTTGCAAAAATTGCACTGGTGATGATGTGTAAGAAAATTGTGTAGTTGACATTGAACTACACGATTCATTGGTGAGCTTCGTTCGATTTTTCTTCTTCTGTTGCCGTGTTGCTGCTGCTATCTGATTTTGAGTAACAGAGGATGCACCAAATATGAAGTTACCCTCAATGCAACCCTCTTCAAAATTTGAAGTAACACTAAACTGACTTCCTCCATCACTATCTTGTCTCTCGATTGTTGATTTGGAAGTCACTTCATTATCTGCTGCAGTTATGAAAGAATCAGTACTATAATCTAAATGCTCGGTAGCAGATTTGAAGCTTTCAGTCTCAGTCCCAGATATAGACTCTTCAAAAGGACCACCTGTATCTTCACCATGATGAATAGAGTGTCCAGATTTTACTTCTTCTGTTTCGTTGTATGTCATATCATTTTCATTGATATTCATGCGTTCTGTTGCATCTACCAGATCTTTATCTGTTACATCATTTGCAACCACTGGTCGTGAATCACTACATCCATAATTCTCATTCAGACTAAAGGACTCATCGGAAGCCAAAGAAGTTTCCCTTGACAATGTATTATCTGTTGGTGCTTCACGATACGGAGAAATATCCATTGGTGAATATGGTTCGGAAGGTTCGGCATTCTCTTCTGAACTTCCTCTGAAGGCAAAGTCTTGAGCAAAGTCCACTGGAGTTGAGTGTGTTTGCTTAGGTTTCCCTTTCTTTTTCTTGTATCTGGGGTCTTTAGTCGCTTCCCTTCTAGTTTCAACTTTCTTATTTAAGCTTCCTTTAACAGTTGGTGTCTTAAATCCAAAGTTTTGCATTAGCATAACATCAGACTTTGTAGTGAAACTAAATTCAACCTGATTAGTATAGGGACTATTCTGCGTCGCAGCCTGAAATGAGAACCCTGAAGGAATTGAATCTGAAATTCCACCAGCATTGGTATTGCCCGAAAATTCAGTCTTCCCTTTATCCACATTATCTGCGAAAGCAGGCATATCAGTCTGTGTTTGACCAAAATGGCCTCTGCTTCTGCTTCCAACACCCGAGTCATTCACATTATCATGTTTATTAACAATATTTCCACTGGGGTCACTTGAACTTGGATCAACCTTTACATTCTCATTTATATGCATGTTTTTCATCTTATCATGAAGCAAGGTCTCGGAGTTTCCACCCAAAGAGCCTCTTTCCTTATAGGCATAGTCCTTCACGTCATTCTCAATGCTTTCTTTGATATTCAACTTGTTCATCTCATTCAAGAGATTAACTCCTACACCCCCACCAAACTTATTATCAACATTTTCACTACTCGACAAGCTACCAAACATGTTAAACTCGGGTTTTACATTCCGTGCAGAGTCAACATTTCCCTTACTATCGATCTTTAACTTGCTCTCCATCTCCTTGCTTACCATTTCATCAAGTTTCACATCGCCACCCGTAAACACGAAAGACCCTCCTTTATCAGCAACAGAATTAACCACATTGTTGTTTACACCACTCACATTCATTTTCTTCTCACTTTCAAGTTTCAGTTTTCTCATTTCATCAACAAGAAATGTTCCTTCCCCTACATTGGAATTTGAATTTGCTCCAAACGGACCACTTTTATCATTACTACCACTAATTCTACTAGCTCCAAAAACAAACCCTTTATTACCAACATCCCCACTACCCCAATACCCCAAATTACCCCCGACCCCCAAATTACCCCCCACCCCCAAACCCATGTCCATTTCTTGATTTTCCACAAAACCCTTAAAAGGGTTGAAAGGTTGGTCCTTCTTATGAGAACCCATGTACTTCTTCTTATACAATCTGGGTTTTTGCAGCTTTGCAGAGGACCCAAAAGGAGACGGGTTCGGATCTTGACCCTGACCTGTATGTCCAATATTGTGATCCATTGGAACCCCAGGAAATATTTTCTGCTGCTTTAAAAGATTATATGAAGATTGAGTGTTGAAAATCTGACCTTTATGAAGATACAAATCTCCGGTATCGGTCAACGCCGGCGACATAAGTCATCTAATCACGGTCGGCGTTTACTCCCATAAATTCTGATCATGAAATAATTTGGTTTGTTTTTTGGAGAAATCAAATGAAGCTTGTAGAGGAGGGAGGGTCTACTTCCTCTTTTAATTTTCTTTTTAGCTTACTTTTATTTTCTAATTGTTGTTTGTTTACAAATTTTCATGTTGTGTGTGTATACATTTTAAATAAAAAAACTTTCTTTGGTTTCTTAATCATGAGGGTTTTTTTATTTTATTTTATTCCATGACCGAGGGAATTTTGTTTTTATGAATATGACACTTATTTTGTTGATTTTTTTTTCTTTTTTAGAGCCCGTTTGGACAAAAGAATTTTTTTCGAGTTTTTTTTATTCTTTTCGCAACTCACTGTTTGGCCATAAAATTATCAATTTTCGCTTGAAGATGAATTTTGAAATTTTTCAAAAATTTAAAACTCTTAAAAGCTATTTTTTAAAATATTCACTCAGTTTACTCATAAAACTCAAAAATCAACCCAAAATTATATTCATGTCCAAACACAACTCTAATTTTCAAATAATATTTTCACTTGAATTTTTTTTTTTTTAATTTTACAATTCTTATGTCCAAAGGCCACTAAATGTTCATCTTTATATCTTTTTAGGGCCTTTCACATTTTTTCAGATCCATATAACTAACAAGGGATTTTTATATACCTATACACTATTGGAAACTTTATTACCCTTCCTACTCAAGTTTTAAGATAATTACCTCCTATATACAAATTTACCAATTATATACACTTTAGGAATTAAATGAGTATCCCTTTATATTAGGAATCAATTATTTCTCATCCTTATTCTCTCTCAGTCATGCTCTCTCTCTCTCTCTCTCTCTCTCTCTCTCTCTCTCTCTCTCTCTCTCTCTATCTCTGCGTCTCTCTATCTCTCAATCCCTAATTACAATAGTGTAGAGCAAAGAAAAAGATAGCAGCAATTCCACCATTGACAGCCATTAAAAAGCTTTGAAGCTTTGAATTCGAATTTGGGTTTTCAAAAAACATTATTTGTTTGAACAGGGTGTTGTTGCAAACAATTGGGAATTCTCTCTACGTCTCTCTCTATCTCTTAATCCCTAATTCCAGTAATGTAAAGCAAAGAAAAAGAGGGCAGCAATTCCACCATTGACAGCCATTAAAAAGCTTTGAAGCTTTGAATTCGAATTTGGGTTTTCAAAAACATTATTTGTTTGGATTGGGTGTTGATGCAAACAATTGGGAATATTGTTTGGAGTTTATATCTCAGTTTTGAGGGTGTTTTGGTGAAGATTAGACTTGATATTGCCTGAATTTCAGATTGAAACTCGGAGAAGAAGAAGAAGAAGAAGAAGAAGAAGAAGAAGAAGAAGAAGAAGACATGACATACGTTATACTGCAGAAATTGTAGTAATCTTGTAGTAAAATTGTAAAAGAAAATTGTATTCTATTGTTTATATATATTTTTATTTATTTAAATATTGTATAAAAGTTGAACAATCTTGTATAAAAAATATATTTAAGTTGTATGATATTGTGGTTGTATAAAACTGGTAGAAATAACGTGTGAAAGTTGTATATAAGTTGTAGATAATTTGTATAATATATAATTAGTTGTATGAAATTTATTTTTACTATGTATAAATCGGATACAAAATATACAAAAGACATATTGTATAAAAATTGTATTTAAGTGGTATGATATTGTAGTTGTATTTAACTGGGTAGAGATAATATATGAAAGTTGTAGATAAGTTGTAAATAAGTAGTATAATAAGTTGTATTAGACCAATACAGAACTCTCTCTTCTTCTTCTCTCTCGGCGTACGTTTAGGTGACTCTGCTAACGTACGCTGACTACCAGAATGGGAGGGCGAGGACGGTCGCGGAAGCGGGTGAACAAGGTTCTGCTCACGGGCCTCAAGCTACTTGAGGAATTGAAGGTGGGATCTAAAAGTGGAAAATCACCAAATGGGAGAAATCTCCATGGATCTGCTGAGAAACAAACACCGACAAACAAGGCTAATCAACAGGGCAAACAGGGATCTCAGAACACGCCAAGCACTAGGAAAGGGAAATCAATAGATGATTTGGTTGAACCAAGCACATGCAGCAAGGTAGACAATGGCGGTGGTACCACTCGTAGTGCAGAGGGTACATCTGGGGTTAAATCTATAGAAATTCAGGAAAACCTTACTGCAACAAAGGAGCCTAGCAATAACAAGGTGAATGGATAAGAGAATGAAGAAGCCCATAAGGTGCAAAGGAAAATTGATCTACCTAGAGGGAATGGCAACACACAAACCTGGGCAAGTATTGTTACGGGAAATAAATTGGCGTCCAAAGGCATGAGCCTGAGGTATGTACCACCTATTATCCAGGAAAGGGAGACGTTAAACTAGAACAGGAGGATATAGAAGAGGAAAGTGCAAAGTGGAGATTGACTATTATTCTGTATGTCATCGGAGATTCCCTATCGCTCGAAGCAGTGGAGAGGTTTCTCACAACACAATAGAAGTTCGCAGAAAAGCCCCAAATATAATACCACAACGATGACTACTTCGTCATTTGATTCAAGAGCATGGAGGAAAGAGATCGGATATTGTTCTCAGGCCCTAACACAATCAATAACAGGCCTGTGATAATGAAGGAATGGTCTGCGGAGTTCAATTTTCAAAATGAAATCCTTAAAACTATTCCAATATGGGTTAAATTCCCAAATCTACCTCCAAGCTGTTGCGGAGGGAAGTCACTGAGCAAAATCAGTAGTGGACTAGGTACTCCTGTATATGCTAATGAGTGCACCACCAATATTGCACGCATATCATATACAAGAGTACTCATAGAAATGGATGTTACTAGAACACTACCTAAGTGCATCACAGTTCAAGACCCTAAGGGAGGGGTGTTTCACTACAAGAAATTGCGTTTTCAGTGACGACCTTTAGTGGCGACGCTTCTTGTTGCCACAAAAGTACCGGTTTTAGTGGCGACAGGGATAGGTCGCCACCAAATATTAAAAATTTAGTAGCGACCTTCATTATCGCCTCAAAAAGGTCATGTTTTAGTGGCGACTTGACCAGGTCACCTCTAGTAGTCGCTGAGTTTTTATTTCAAAAATTGGCTGAAAAACAATTTGTAGCGATCTTTTAAAGATTTTTTCGAATACTTAAGTTGCTCTCTTGTAACTTCTTAAAAGCGTTCGAGTTGATTTATCTATATTTTTGTTCATGTTTTAATAATTATTCATTTACTCGGTATTGTAGAATTTGTGATCATAGCCTCTATATTTATGCATGTGTATCTCTCAGCTGTGGGTGAAGGATCGATAAATGCTTTAGATACTTTCACCTATGTATGCTTGAGAAGTCATATTGAAATCATGTTGAAAGTTTAGTTACTGAAATGTGCACCTCGTATCTCGACAAACTATACTAAATAAAACCTTATCTTATTTTATTAGGTGTCAAATATGAAAAGTTGTTATCTAATCATTGAATACTCAAGTGAGCACTAATCATATTTTAAGTGTCATCTCTAAATTACTTATCTTCTTGTGGAGAATTTCTTATTGTGTTGGAAGAATGCTGCTAAAGAACAAATGCTATGGCTTATGGATAAGTAGGTAAATGTAACATTATCTGTGAACTTGTTTTAGATTTTATTTTTTCATCCATGCTCTTGCTTTTATTATTGAACTACTAGGTTAATTTTTATCCAACATAGCAAATGTCTTTGTAATTAGCAAGAATAATTATGGTCCTAGCTATTTTAGGCTCAATGCAAAATATTCTATTTGAAGTAAGTTTACTTTGCTAAATAAAGTTGATGGTCTTATCTGGAGTCTTAACCCACATGATGTATATCCCAATACATGTTCTAATATTTTAGTTGAATATTTTGAAGGATACCGAGCATGAAGAGAGCTAGCGTGAATTAGCAATTGCTCTCCATGTGTGCTTTATCGACTGCTTATATATGGTAATTGTCATAGTTTATATATATCATTTGTGAGCATGGTGAAATGACATATAACATATTGCTTACTGGTGATTTTTGGTTGTCAATGACAAGGTTCTTCAAAAACGGAAAATGAAGGTGGACAAATACTTGGATGAGTTTGAAGACAAATTAGATTTAAGGCATTTTATATTTGTTAGTATTATTATGTGTATATACAATGAAATTGTACTGCTAAGTATTGGATATTATATGTGTATTAGACTAATTAGCAATAAAAAGTTCCTACAATCTTGTTTGATAATTTGATTGTTTTTGAGTTGTCTATTAACATGTCAATGGGGTTGAAGGGAATATACTTGTAATTTATTTGTTAAAATTAGGTTCCGAGGAATGTATTGGCATATTGGCCATTAAAGGGAAAAAATGGTTTAGTGGCGGCCGAACTTGTCACAATAACCAAATAGAAATTGTGGCAACTAATATCGCAACAAAGATCATGCATTAGTGGCAACTAGAGTTGCTGCTAAAACAAAATAATATTCTGTGGCAACAATAGTTGCCACTAAAAGTCGTTTTTAGTGGCGACCTGCCCAAAAATCGTTTTGCTAGAACTTATTTGTAGCGTATTAATTTATTATTTGTGGCAACAGAAGTCGTTACTAATGTGAACCCTTTGAGGCGACCTCAAGTAGTCGTCACAAATAACATTCAGTAACGGTTGTACTTGCAGCAACCCAAATGTCGCTGCTACACATCTTTAGTGGCGACTTTCGTATAATTTGTGGCGACTTCTGACGCCACTGAAAGTTAGATTTCTTGTAGTGTTTGAACGGGAAGTGGCATATGATTGGAACCTGAGTATTCTGCTACCTGTTTGCAAATACACAATTGCAAGACTATGAATGTGCAGAAGCAACCACTACAAGTTTAGAAAAGGAAGCAAACAAAGCATGCGCAAGTATGGAGAAGGAGTGATCAAGTGCTGAAGACAACTGACAAATAGAGTGTACAAACACAAAGTGGAAATACTCAA